TAGGTCCGTCAACCATCCGTCGCAGCTGTTCAACACTTTAAAGTAAATTTTTGAGACTTTGGAGGTGAAATGGTCTCATATCTTGTGCATACACCTGTTTTTAATGCGTTTTGAGACTAGATACCATCATCTTATGTCCAGTCGGAGGTGATCTAGTTTCCATAGTCCAGCCTAACTGTTCTGATCTGGTTTCCAGCTCCAGTCTGGTGTTGTATGTTGTTCTCAGTGCTTCAGGAGAAACTGACCCGTGTTTAATATCCTCATTATCCAGCTGTGAACCCACATGTACCCAGAGTGACTGTGATAAAAGCCAAGGAGCAGAACGGAGGGTGGGGTTTGAGCCTGTAGTCCTGGTCAGGGTTCAGGTCCAAACATCCACCAGTGGCGTTTTCTGGGAGCTCCTCTAATGAATATCTGTTGTAGCCATTACACACGTCTGCATTTTTAAAAAGTGTGTTGTGCATGTAATAGATGGAAAAACAGAGCCAGAGGAGCAGAATTAAGATGCAGAGATAAAGAAAAGGCTTGTATTCAGAACTTGGCAGGGTGGAGTGACGGCAGCGAGGAGGGATTGTGGGAAAGTTTTTCAGGATGAACGTCTGCCAGCTGAAACAGTCTGCAGGTTCTGGAGTCGGCTCAGTGTCACACTAACCTTCATGTGGACTCCGTTAGGCCTCGTACAGAAACTACAACAGCATTGTTACTTATTATAGTTTCCATGGCTCCCAGCAAATCAGACTGGCCGCGGACCAGAGTTCTACTAAAACTCTGTGGGAGAAATGTGGCTGTTTGTTTTTTGACTTTCAGGCTGGAGGATTTGGATCCTGCAGGTCCTGCAAGACCCAACATGGAAAGGTTCTGGATTAATGTATCGCAGCATCATGATCTGATAAAAACCGACCCGGCTGGCTGTTTGTGCAGCAGATTTGTCATCATTACGACCAAATCTAGCTTTTACTGCCGCGCTGTCATGTGGTCAGAAGGTTAATCGGTTGTTTTTTGTAGTGTTGTTTGACTTTGCCAATGATTTTACAGTTTGGTTTAAAAAGAGATGATCTACGAGTCCCGACACAGTCTCCACAAAATCATGCTTTTATGCAAATAGACTTGAGTCTTGAAGGCAAATGTACTCGTATATTGAAGTAAACGAGGATTGAGGCGTAAACCAGCAGCTGGTTTACCAGCAGACCAGCGTTTACCTCTTTTGACGCACAAGAAACCATCAGTCTTGAACCTAAATTTCATTTTCTGTTGTCGTTTACTTTTAGTTGTCATCACTTTCTGGTTGGGTTTAGGCACTGAAACGTTGTGGTGAGATTTAGGAAAATATTACGCTTGATTAAGTACAAGCATCAAAATCACTTGCTTTGGTTAAAAATATGACACTTACATGTCTGTAGCTTCTCCTCCATTTTGTGGGTTACCACGGTGACGAGTCCCGCCCGTCTAATGTACGATTGGTGGTTGGCTGTGGAGCAGCAACAGTAAAATGTTGATTAGAAACACATTTGTGATAAATTACAAACCAAATACATTTACCTCAAAACGTATGTGTGAATGCAGTTTAGCAGCGTAGGAATGTAAGTTTGTGGTCAGATTGGATCGAATCTTCATCATGAGCTGTTCAACGGGGAAACGTTTTCTTGTCCCCATAAAATAGAAGCAAAGGAGGATGTCGGAAGTGGTCGGGTTCAGTAAAACACTGAACTTTCACACAGGATATGGCTGATT